AAACACAAATAATAGCAACTACACAAGCGAGAGGAAGCAGCTATTCGACGACAGAGCGAGAATGAAAAAAAAGAAGAAACGAAGAAGAGAAGGAAAAAGGAAAACAAGAAGATAAAATTATAAGACACTAAGGAAAATAAGTGAGATTGATAAAATGAAAGGCAGAGGGAGCAATAGGAAATGAAAAAAAGGTATCAAAGCCCTAATAAGAAGAAAGACAAGAGAAATAATTAGCTAGAAGGAGAGCTAAAGCAAGTTAAAGGCAAAGGTAAAAAGGCAAAAGAAAGTAGCAAAGGAAGAGGTCGAAAAAAGAAAATAAGTAAGAAAGAGAAAAATAGAAGAGCGGAAAAGGCAGATCTCGGAGAGAGAGAGGAAGAGAAGATTAAGTAACAGAAAAATGAAAAAAAAAGCTGAACAGACAGGCGCAGAAGACAGAGACTCAAGAGTTGCAGACACACCTACATACGTACACATACATACAAAACACACACACACACGCGCACATACACACGCACATACACACACTAAACACATACATTAACAACTACAAAAACCAGACACGAGACACAAATAGTAAAAAAGAATTGTAAACCAAATGTAACATAGGTTGTAGATAAATATATATATATATATATATATATATATAAGCTAAGTCACTTTTTTTGTATCTGTGGAAGCTGATTTGTATCTGTAAACGGTTGAACGGCTAGTCAATATGTCGGGTCAAGGGCTCTTGTCTCAGCAGCGGGTAATCGGAGCGACGTCTCAGGACGCCACGTTAACGATCCAGGGGTAGAGAAAAGATTCGGATCAATTGTTCACGCCAACTAAATGGCGTCGTGGCGTCGACGCGTTAGCTGGTTTCACGCACCCGATCGCGATAGCTACGGGTGATATGGAAAAGTCAATGAGGTTAAGTCAATGACAAAAAGAATTTAAGCTACAATTCATTTATTGATAAATAAAGTTCAAGCTATCCGAGTCAGCCCAAGGTCGGTCTTATCTCAGGTCGAAGTGAAAACAGAGGGAAAGAGGGGGGGAAAATTCTATTGGTATCCGGTCATCGCGTCCTTATGTGATTTGGTTTCTTTCTACGCTCAATTTCAAATGACTATTTGTGGCGGTCTGCCTCGTATAAATTTCCCTAAAAACGCGGATGGCGCACCGCGACGCGATTGCGATCTGTTCTCGTGGCGATCGAGCGGAGGCCAGGTGGGACGGACTAATGCGCGGGCAATTTCGAGGATTACGTGACGGTCATACGGTATTCCATCGATGCTCAAGTATTTAACAGTAGCACAAAAATATCGGCGGCAATCTAATGCATGTACGGGGAACTTGGCGATCAGCGAAGGTCAAACGACACTTCTGTTGACGCGAGGGCTTAAACGATCGCACAAAGAAATTCGACGGCAATCTAACGCGCGCGCGAGGAATTCGTCGGTCGCGCGATGGTCAGACGGCACTTTTCAAAACGCAAAAACTCTATTGATCGCACAAAGAAAATTTGCGGCAATCTAACACGCGCGCGAGGAATTCGTCGGTCGCGCGAAGGTCGGACGGCACTCCCGTTAATGCGCGAGGTCTAAACGATTGCGTATGTAAAAAGTTGAGAGAGGGAAGTACTCGGTTTTTCTCTTTATCGCTGCTGCCTGTTTTGGAGTCTGTTGCTGCTGCTGAATACTGCTCTACTGCTGCTGTATGCTATTCTGCTGCTGCTGTGTGCTATTCTGCTACTGCTGTATATCTGCTCTGCTGCTGCTGTATATCTGCTCTGCTGTTGCTGTGCTTTGTCCTTTGTTCTCCTGCTCACTCACTCACGTATATTCTCTGGGCTTCCACGTATCTCCAGAGTCTGGCGGCTACTGCCATCATTTCGTGTCATCGCGTCGCTTCTCCTCGTTTACTTCCCCTTGCGATCGCGGGATTTTATCATACTGGTCAATTTTGTTGCTAGGTCGGTTGTCAGCACCGTCTATTTTATTATTTCAGCCTGCGCAATTTTATGACTGGTCGGTTTTTGGCTCCTAATTTTCCTATTTGTTAGTCAGATAGCGTCGGTTTTGTCCTATTTGTTAACCCACCCCTATTCTATTACCGATTGGTTGGTTAAGTAGTGTCGTTTTAGTTCATTTGGCGATCTACCCTTATCCTATTACCGATTGGCTGGTCAAGTCGCGTGCGTCGGTCAGTTTCGCGTCGTTATCAGTTGTCTCTTTCAACACGCGTACGTTAACCCTACCCATTTCCCTTCGCTCGCGTCCGATCACTCTCCTATCAGTTGTCTCACTCGTTCTCACGTGCTCGGTTGCCCTTCTCTTGGTCTAGCCAGGTCTAACGCAAGCTTAGTAGCAGTTGCCTATCTTCAGCTGATCTCAGCTGCAATCTTTTCCGTCGCCTGGCTTCCTGGGGGAGTATGGATCCGGGTTGTGAGTGCGCGAGTGGTTATACGCGGGCGTAAGGGTCGTGCGCGTCAGTTTGGTAGACCCTGAAGTATTTTTTCGCGAGGTCTCAGATGTGCGCGAGTAGGCTAGACGGCATCAGATGATCGGTCGGATCCTCTTGTCGGGAGAGGATTTTGCGCGAGCTTAATAATTAATTTCTGTGAGACGCATTATCACAAGTTCACCATTGTCTTTTTGTTATTTTCATAAGAATAACACCAACAACTGTATATAGCATCGAAACCAAGTGAACAACGAAATCTAAACTAGTAAAATAATTGTAAAAATAAATAAAATATGATAGAAAGATAGTTTCCTTTTCGAAAGGCAAGTAGAATTGGATTGATCATTTATAAAACTACTCTGAAGCCAAGTAGGCACTTCGATAAATTTATTCCAATGCTTGCTTCGTTCTTACCACAAAAAGTGTTCATACGCGAGTATTGACTATGTATCTATTTGTCCCACATAAACCCTAGAGCTTTATTTCATATCTATCCGATTTGCAAAGTAAATATTGTGTTAGGCACGAGCATCCGAAGAATGGAACCATAATTTCTTTCATGGAAAAAGAAGTTGAAAATAAATTAAATTGTTGAAGATTATATTGGATAAATTCAAAATTTCTCAGACTTTTCAAGCCTTATCAGCATCATATTTATCACTAGCTTATGAATATTTTATTTTTATTTGATATCGTTAAATCCATCTCGAGACATTGCTGAAGAAACAGTCGAGGACTTAACAAGTCAATTTTTGAATACCCTCTTTGATCATTTATGGTGATAGCAATAATATCATAAAAATGTATCGAATTTGTTCACCGATGAATACAGTTCGTTTTCTTCACTACTTATAATAATATAATTTTTTATTTCTATAGAGAAAAAAGGTTCAAATAATTGCACAGGTGACAGCGAGAGTATTTTTTTCTGTACTGTGTCACTTAATAATACTTCATCATCTAAATTCCAAGAAAAAACTTTTTTTTAAAATTAATTTTTTTTAATAATCAATAAATAGGTTTTACAGGAAATTTATTTTAGTTTTTAAAACTGCCTCTTTAATTGCTATATGATTATTAGTTGCTGAAATATTAGCGATTGAGGGAAATAGGACCATTTTTCATTCGAAGTTCGATATCTCAGTGATAAATATATCACGCTATTCTTATATTCGTAAGTTTTGCACAAGAAATATCACGGATGAATTATTTAATCTATTTATCCTTACCTATATTATCAACATTTCTGTAGACTAATTTTACTTCTTCCTAGCAGCGAAAAACTGCCGTCACCAATTAAGCCACAATTACCTGCTGTCGCGATATTAAAAATTTCTGGCTAGAAAGATCGCTGAAACTCTTGGTAACGACGAACAAAATTGAAAACCTGGAGAAGCATCGTGTCCTCCATACGCACCGTGGGCTCAAGTGAAAGACCGCTGTGTCTCTCTGTCCCTCTCCCTTTCACGCCCTCACCACCTAAGACGTCACTTATCATTGCCTCCGTTTCTTTCCGCTGCCGAACTACGAAACAAAGTCAAGCATATAAAAAGTATCTTTCATTCTCAACAATGGCCTCGTAGGGAAATGAGAAAAAATGAAAATAAAAAAATACAGCCCTTTCAATATCATCAAAAAATTTAGGAATTTTTTATGTTCCCTTAATTTTTGCCAGTACTATATGAGTATGAGGTTTCACTTTGTGTGATACAGGAGGAGTTTGTGATGTTTATTTTAAGCTAAGTTGTTATAAATGAAATTCATTTTAAAATAATCATCCTCTACTCCAAAAAAATGATTCTTATTTTTCAATTTCAATCTATTCTAAGATAGAATCAACTCACTTCGCTATAAAACAATTGTATTTAGAACGTGCTAAGCTGTACTGTAATTTTCCTATTATTATTAAACACAATAAATATACATTTATGTATAAAATTTATTATACCAGTTTCTCTATTTTACGATAATTATTATTAGAATGAATGATTGCATTATATGTTTTCTCAGAAAACTGTTTGATTAAAAAAGATATAATAACTAAAGAAATAACTACATACTTTTGTCTTGATACGTTAGAAAATATTTTCATTCACATTTTTCATGTAATAAGTGAGCGTGTTTATTCATTACTTTTATTACTCACATGTATTTCCTCATAATGTATGTATATTATTCGGTTGCCTACTGGAATATTCAATGATAAGATTTTATCGGCCCTGAACTCACCAAAAATAATTTATTATCGTTAAGTTCGTATTTGGGAGTTTTCGAATACTACAAAAATGACTTATGTTATAGATTTCAATGCTTACTCGCCTATTTTTATGTATTATTATATGAAATGTGTTTGATTTAAAAGTATATAATTTTATCAAGTTTCAAAAATGTATTATTATTAATTGCCACATCATATGCGTTTTTATAATCAGATAAAATTTTAACTAGGAATGATAAAAACACTTTTTACTAAGCATTAAATAGAGCTCTAATATATACGTACTATAAAGTTTTTCAAATAAATGATTATTATATTTATTCTATCACATTAGGTTTGCCAATAATATGGTTTATGTTGGGTTATCGTATTATGGACCAGCTTTAGGCAGTGAAGAACATCTCAGCTTTTTATATTCATCACTAGCCGAAATTCCTAGCTACCTTCTCTGCTGGGTTATAATGGATCGCTGGGGCCGACGTTGGCCTTTATGTTTCTGTATGGTAATTGCAGGAGTATCTTGTATTGCAACAGTCTTATTACCAGAAGGTATCATATATCTTTATTGTAATTATCAAACCTAGCACCTTTCATTTTTTCGATATTCATGATAATAAAATGGATTTTTAAAAGTTAACAGTCGAGTGGATTTGAATGCACAGTTTAACTGGAACAAATCCGGTCATTTCAGCTGTAAGAGTAATTTGTCTCTAAAAATTTAATCCCGGCCAAACTTATGAGAGATATCATGCTTATTTTGTACTTATCAAAGTTTTTGTTATACCTGAGCAGCATTTCACTCGCTCAGGTTCCACACTCTACCAACCTATGCATACCATGTACCACTCTGTAGGCGTGTTAATTCTCTTATTCTGTCTCTTTTTCTCTCTTGCTATCTTCATCTCATTTAAGTAATGGACGGACGTATGAAATATCGTTCAATTGAATAACGGTCAGAACTCCACATCTAACATCTTTATGTGAATTTTTCTGTATTACAGACAAATTGGCCTTCATAGAATCCAAGAGTTCAGAACATTCTGTAAGGCATTTTAGAGTTAGAGAGACTGATTGTATTTTGTGCTACTAGTGTGAACTTTGAGTGAAATTTAGAAAAGCTTAACGTTACAATTTTGGCAATAAAAGGCCAACCGCTGTCCCGGGTGTTCCAGACCATCCGTACAGCCATTTTAAAATCGAAAATTCGTGTTTTTGTAAAAAATGTTTCAGATGAAAGTTGTTTACGACAAAGGGGGCCAATACACCAAAAACCTTTGACCTTTAACCTCATTTTGAAGGTCATTTCAAGGTCGAAGTGTTTTTTGTAATGGAAACCCCTCTTTTTGACCCCGGATTCGCACATAGCGTGAAATCCGACGTTTGGATAAGGTATTATGTTGAGTTTCGCGCTATGTGCGAATCCGGGGTTAAAAAGAGGGATTCCCATTTAAAAAAAACAATTCGACCTTCAAATGACCTTGAAAACGATGTTCAAGGTCAAAGGTTTTTGGTGCATTGGGTGGCCCACTCTGTTCTGAACAAATTTTGTAGAGGTCATTTTTCGATATCTTAAAAATTAAAAAAACGCTTTTAGGCAGATTTTCAAGCATTTGACCTTAAATCGACCTTCTCAAGGCCATGAAAAAAAATTAAAAAATACCGTTTTGGACGTAAAATTTCCCGCTCTTTCCGAATCCGGTGTCAAAAATAGGGGTTCCCATTAAAAAAGACAATTGAACCTTCAAATGACCTTGAAAACGATGTTCAAGGTCAAAACTAATTATACAGATAGATGGCCCCCTTTGTCGTAAACAACTTTCATCTGAAACATTTTTCACAAAAACACGAATTTTCGATTTTAAAATGGCTGTACGGATGGTCTGGAACACCCGGTATATCTACTTTAACTACTATAATATGGCACTGAATTAGAAAGGCAACAAATTTGAAAAATGTGTAACGAAAGCTCGTTCGTTAACCATTGTTTAAAGGTGGGCAAGTGAGACGCACTCGCTCATAGCAATTGAGGCGGGAAGGGGGAAGAGGCAAAGAAATAAAAATGATTTATAAATTATACTCACAAACAAATTCGCATTTTAACAAATCTAATTAAATCAAACAAAAGTTAAATTACACTTAAATTTCGCAATTACCGCACATTAACAAACCGCATAATGATAAGCCGCATTAGACATACTCTTGACCTAATAAACATAATGACGTTCTTAACACCTATTACAAAAGAGTACAAATTAACTAACTAATCGTGTCTACAAATCTGTAGAAAACGCAACGCGAGTCGCCCGGCAGATGACCGCCTTGACGACAAACCGACTTAAGCCATTTAGCTAAAAGAGAAAGTCGCCCGGCAAAGGATCGCCTGGACGATTTCTTTTTACGCGATTTATTACCCGACCGTCATTAGGGCAGGTAGCCGGCGTGTGCACGCCTTGCTACCCACCTAATCCTAAATTGCGAAATCGGTTTCTTTCTACGCTTGGTAGCCCCTACAATGCTATTTTTGAAATTGATATAAACTTTGCACATATTTTGTCGCAAAATGGCTAGATCGAAATAGCAATTTTATGATTTACAAAGTTAGATATGAAATAACGAATTTTTTAACATAAATCGTTACTCGAGGAAAAATCGCCTTTTAGAGTTGAGTAATACAGTTTGATAATCAAATAACGCCAATTTTACATTAAATTTACGGAAAATTTTTACATAAAAATATCGCTAGTGATTAGTGGAACATTATTTAAATTAAAAACGATTAATATAGCTATCCACTTTTGAATAATACTTAAAAAACGAATTCGCAAATTTCTTTTTTAGCCATTTAAAAATTAGCAAATTAGTGACAATCATTATCATTAATTTTACAGATATATACAATCGACTCGCTATCTAACAACGCAATTTTAATTGTTTTAATAAATTATAAATTTTTTATTTATTGATAACTCAGTGAAAAATTGGTTACCAAAGTGTCAAATGCTTCTCGGTTTCAATACGTTACGAACGTAATCGCATATTCGAATTAATAATATAATTATTTATTGCAATATAACTAACACTATTAACTTGTAAATTAAATTAAACTAATAAATACGGATTTGAGAACTATAACAACATGAAATTCAAGAACAGCGCATCAAAATTAACTAAAAAAATGCTTTTGTTCATTTGAAAAACTTTGCAATTGTCGATTTTGCATTGTAAACAATAAATTTCCCACGGTCGTGACGTCACGCTCCTTATATGGTCTTGTTATCGCTGAGTTGCCCTAACACATTTACATATATGTGAGAGAGCGCCTTCGCTCAATTACCGCTTTTCTTTGATTTTCTCGTGCACGACGGGTTGCTAATTTGTAGAGAGAGAAAAGGGACAAATCATACTGGACCCTTACAATATATATATGTATATATATAAACTTATACATAGTACAATATTGCACAGCAAATGATAAAAATAATACCATCTAGGCATTTCAGTACAATATATTTTGCCAGGAGGAGGAAAACTCTGCCAGGAGGCCCACCGAGCAGGTAACGGTCTCGGCTGCGCAAACCTCCATTTCTGATAAGAAGGTAGAGGAACGACTAGAGGGCATAGAGAGGCTCCTGCGCAAAATGGCCAAGGAAAGGCAGGACAGCCCTCCAGAATAGAACAAAAGCCGATGGCGTGGGAGAACGAGAAATTCACCTCCTTCCAGATCTCCTGGCGAGCGGCGAGAAGGACAGAGGCAGATGGAGGCGTTTCGCTTGTAGCAAACTGGGATTCAGCCGTTAGTTCTGCCCAGATTGCATTAAGGGAAACGGCAAGGAGAGCGAAGAGAAGAAGTCATCTTCTCGCCTCTAGTGAACTCGACCACTCGTCGCAGGTCGTCAACTGGAAAGAGCATGTTGTCGGCGACCCAGGAATCCAAACAGGTTATAAGAGGGCATTGAGAGACCCCGGGACTTAGCAGTACAACGGAGCAGAAGGCGATCGAGTCCGATGCCAGCCCTCGGCAGAGTAGGGGGGTGGTCATCCTGGAAGGACCAAGTGGCTACATTCAAGTTGTGGAGGAAGGAGAAGACTCGATTATTATGTGGATCGAGCAACCCGAAGACCTGAAAGGTTCGGATTCCTCCACACAAAAATTTCCCCTGCCTAAGGAGTCCACGAATAGGAACAAGCCCGTCATTGTATCAGCGGCTGAAGGGAAAAAGCCGCTGAAAAGCACGAGAGATGGAAGAGAGAATGCGACTCGTGGATACGACCAAGAGGATGAGACCAGATGGTGGTTGCGGGTAGACATAGGTGACTTTAAGATTAGAGCACTCTATGATACCGGCGCCTCATCGACGGTAATGGGTCAGTTAGGGCTGAGATTGACATAGGAGATTGGACTCGGACTGAATGTGACCAGGGCAGGCAACGCAAGGCTCACCGACGGGCGTCCATACCCCATCATTGGTCACGTAATGTTCCCCTTTAAGGTAGGGGGAATCACTAGAAAGATAAGAAACGCCATTACGCCACTGCTCACGGATGACTGCTATGTAGGCGCGAACTTTATAAGAGAGTTCCGCGTAGTTTTGGATCCCGATGAGGATGAATTATGGCTGAAGGACGCCCAGGTAAAAGTACCTATGGAAGTGGTGAGAATTGATGGTACGGCATTTCTCGCACCGGTAGGACTATGGGAGGCCATGGAAACACAGCTTGACACACAGCAACACTACCGTGACACCTTCATCGGGCGGCTCCTTTGTGTCCCAGAACATACACATATCCTTATACATTGGCGGCATCCTTTGTCGGCTCCTTTGTGTCCCAGAACATACATTGCTTATCTACTACTTATACCCATGATTCGTCACCAGTTATGACCCTTTTGAGTTAATCTGGGTCGTCGTTCACGTCATTCAACAGTTCTTGAGCGATGCTCATGCGACGGTTCTTTTGGTCAAAAGGGCCTAGCCGGATAAGATGGTCGAAACTACCCCCAACGGTTAAGCCAAGCGGAATATGGTATCTTGTAGGGCTTGATTAGAAACTCTTCTGACCAAATTTTCAGACCCCTAAGTGGCCAGGGGCACCCTGTAGGTCCAAAAAAGGATCAAACCGTTTTTTTGAGATAACTCGGCTTCTATAATAGCTAACGGAACCAGCCCAACGGCAAAAAATTTGTCTTAGACAGATCTATATACTAGAATTTTTCCAGATTTTTTGGCGCCAAATTCAAATTTTTAGAACGGTTTCTAATTTTTAAAAATTGAAAAAAAAAACAAAAAATAACTCCCTGCTTGAAAAAATTAATTTTGTTTATTTTATATTCCTCTATATACTCAAAGTTTTTCAGATTGTTTCAAGTGGTGGAACATCGATAAAAAAATTAATAATCATTTTTCGATCATTTTTCCTACGTTTCCGACGTTTCACTCAATTCCATCGATCGAAAATCATTCATTTTTCTATATTTTGTCAATTCTATAGTTACTGCGGTTATATATGATGTCTTTATACCTTCTAAATGTAGATTGATCATTGGCTGA